ACCACTGGGGAGGCCCATGGATACCCATTATTCTTGTGTTGTCTTTCCTAAAGGAGTTGGGTCATTCTTAAGTATTTCTTCATTTTTTTATTTCTCTTTCAGCTTCCTCTGATGCCCTTTGTGCATTATTATATTCCTGTTCACTGATTTAATTTTCCATTATGTCTATTATGTTTTCATAGCTTTCGCCATAATTTTAGTTTTCTCTATTGATCTTTATACATCCTGCATCTCTTTTATTTTCCTATTTAAAGGTTCAGTTTCTATTTTCTATTCATTAATTTAATTTCTCAAGTCATTTATTGCTTTTCTGAGTTTACTTCCAGTTCTTTGAATGTTTTTACCATGGAAATTTTGAATTCTGTATCTGATAAAGAATTCTATATCTTTGTGGTCAGATTCTGGAAGGTTGGTGGTGCCACAGTGCCATGTGTTGTATTTTTCTATCCACTTGTTAGCTACTTTGGACTCACTTTTTTTTATAAGTTATTATAGCAGTAGCTTAGAAATTTACAGTACTTTTACTTTTCCAGAAGCGGCAGTTTGTGTGTGTGTGTGTGTGTGTGTGTGTTTAAGCTTTTCCCAGCTTTAAATGATTTTAGATGTTGGACCTTCGCTGGCTTCATGTAAGACCTGATTTTGCAGCTGCTGTATCAAGGGTGGGGAGGAGCCTGAAGGGTCCAGATGCTTGTGGGAACAGTAGCAGGAAATTGGTTCATGCCTGTGACAAAGCCAATATCCCTCCTTTCTAGGGTTTCAGGACTTTGTCTCTGCAGACTGTCCACTTTCATTGAGTTCCGCATGTCATAGCAGTCCTGAGGGATGGGTGAGGGGAATGAGCCTAGACGTAGTTCCTATTCCTTTTCCAGGGACCCAGCCTACCTGGGAGCACCCCAGCTGTTCTGCACATATTGTTCCTATGTCAATAGTGTGTGTCTCCACAGCATTGAGTTCTCCCCTCCCCAGAGCTGCTGGCCAGGTGGCAGAACCATTGTTTGCAAGACAGCCTGCCACTTTGGACCACAATTTAATACCTGAAGGACTATTTTTAGAATTAGTCACAATGAATCAGAAGTCATTAATGGATACCAAATAAAGATTTTAAACATCGGCCTCCCCTGGTGGCGCAGGCAGTTGAGCGCCGCCCTGTGAAGCTGTCCACAGTCTCTGCAGTGCAGGTTCGATTCTCGCCTCCCGGGGAGGGTCCCATATGGTGCACCAGACCTCTCCTATCTTGCCCGCTACCCCTCTCAGCAGTGTATTTCATTCAGTCTGCCTGTTCTGTTCTCCGCTCTGTCTCTGGTGAATCCTCTCACCCTCCCACCCATTTGGCCTGTATCCCAGTTCTTGTATTAATGAATAAATAAATCTTTTAAAAAAAAAAAAAAGAGAGAGAGGGCCTCCCCTGGTGGAGCAGCAGTTGAGAGCTGGGCTGTGAAGCTGCCCGCAGCCTCTGCAGCGCTGGCTGGATCCCTGGCCACCAGCGAGGGTCCCACATGGCATGACAGACCTCTCCTGCCGGCCCACTGCTTCCCCTCAGCAGTGTATTTCTCGGTCTGCCTGTTCTGTTCCCCACTCTGGCTCTGGTGAATTCTCTCACCCTCCTGCGCTTCTGACTGTACCCAGTGCTTGTATAAATAAATAAATAAATCTTTTTTAAAAAAAAAAGGATTTTAAACAATCTGATTTAAATGATAAGAAGATAATTCTGGTTGCTCTGTTTGGGAGTTCCTGTTGAGTACTAAAACCTAACATATGGGGTCAAAGCATATGTCATTCTATTTCTTGCAAGCCCTGACTTATGCAAGATTTATTCAACTTCTGGATTACCAAAGGTATAATTTAAAGGTGATATGCAGAGATGACTCCTCTGTATTTTCTGCATTAGATTTATATTATGAAACTGGAGAACCCTTTTGCAATGAGATTGTCACTATTCAAATTATGATGGATATCCAAGTGGAAAAGATGCTGCTTCCTAGAGTGGTTTTGAGTGCAAGAAGAAATGTGATGCTTTCAAGTAGGGGTCAATGAAAGATAAGGATAATATGAATCAATGAATCACAAGAGTGGGCATTCAAGATGTAGAGAATAGGAAATATCACTCACAAAACTATAGAATAATCAGCATGTTACATGGAATATAAACTGGATAAGAACTCTGAGTTCCATCATGGGTCAGTAACAGAAATTAATGATGGGTGGCTTGGGGATAGGTTAAGGAATCAGAACTTTTTCCTGAGGACATAAAGGTATAAAGATTTTTAAGTAGGTGTGAGCTTTTGAACAGAATATTTGTTTTTTGTTTTGTTTTATGTAGAGTAGAAAAAAGAGGACTATGTCAGGCTTTTATTCTTTTTTTTATAAAATCTTTTTTTTAATTAATTTTTTTATTTTTCACACCATTGTTCATTTTAAACAATATCTGCTTCCCCCCACCCCCTCAGGTATAGTCCTTCCTCCCCCCCCTGCAGGATGTCTCTGGTTTATAATTGTCTGTTTTTGTTTTGTTTTGTTTTGTATTGTTATTATTTTCCCCCTACTGTCTTATTTGGTTTCCCTATATTCCTGCTATAAGTGAAACCATCCCATATTTTTCTTTTTCTTTCTGACTGATTTCATTGAGCATAATTCCTTCTAGCTCCATCCACATTGCTGCAAATGTCATGAGTTTATCTTTTTTTGATTGCTGAATAGTATTCCATTGTGTATATATATCACATCTTCTTGATCCAGTCATCTATTTTTGGGCATTTGGGTTGTTTCCAGGTTTTACCTATTATAAATAGTGCTGCAATAAACATAGGGGTACAGGTAGTCTTTTGAATCAATGTTTTTGTGTCCTTTGGGTAGATCCCCAGGAGTGGAATTGCTGGGTCATATGGTAGCTCCATTTTCAGTACTGTGAGGAAACCTCCAGACAGTTTTCCACAATGGTTGGACCAGTGTGCACTCCCACCAGAAATGTAGGAGAGTTCCTTTTTCACCACATCCTCACCAACAAAGATATACAAAGAACTCACGACTCAACAAAATCAAAGTAAACAATCCAGTCAAGAAATGGGCAGAAGAACTTAAAAGACATTTCTCCAAAGAGGAAACGCAAATGGCCAACAGGCATATGAAAAAATGTTCATCACTTGTAATCAGGGAAATGCAAATCAAAACCACATTGAGATACCACCTTACACCAGTAAGAATGGCACATATCAAAAAAACAAGCAACAACAAATGTCAGGCTTTTATTCTTAACAGCTGATGGCACCTGGAGAGATGGCACTTGCCATCTCTGGTGCTTTCTCTATAATACACATGCCACATTGCTGCCAGATTGCTCATACAACTTTGTCAAAGTGTTTCACAGGTAAAATACAAACTCCTTTACCCAACATTCAAAAAGCTCCAAAATTTTGACCCCGAAATACTTCTTTAAAAAACTCACTCTAAGAAAATTAATACTCTGGCTAACAGTCTATAAATTAGACTCCTAAGGTAACACAGCATCTCCCACCTATGTCCCCTTCCTTATGCTGTTCCTCCCCTCCCCCAACTCCACCCCCGAACACTTCAGCCCTTTGTTTACTCTTATAAATCTGCAGGGCCTCAGTTACAAGCTTTCCTGGGTCTCAATGGCAGCAGACAAGAAAAACAGGGCTACAAAGCACATTTGTGACACCTGGAACAAATCTTTATTACAGCAACAGCAGGCACATGTAGCAACAGCATGATCTGTCCTGCTGGCCTGGTTGGAGGAGCCTGGCCAGTGGCTTGGGCGGCAGCAGCCCCGTAATGGCCTCAGTGGTTGCTGACTCCTTAGGCCCCTCAGGTTCTCTTGGTCCCCTGGGCTCCCCACAGACCTCTTAGCCCTGGTAGCAGCAGCAGTGGCAACAGCAATAGCATCCAGCAGTGGCAAATGCCGTGGGCTTTGGCTGCAGCAGAAGCCCCAAGCCCAGTGTGTGTAGCCATAAGAGGCCTTGAAAGCCCATTTCCCAGGTCCCAGAAGCCCTGTTAACTTTTATATGCTTTATAGACAAAGCCAGCATAGGGCCAAGTTTAGGCCTACTTTACACAAGTATGTTGTGCATGTGAACTATACATCAAGGTTACGTATTACTGATTTCCACACATGCGGACTATATCTCAAGGCTACATGTTTCCTACTAGGCCACCTGTGCTGTAAGGTCACTGCAAAAATCACTCTGAGAAACTATGTTTTCCCCACGGGCCCTACAAAATCCTACCTAGGTTTTAAGGTCTAGTGCAAACCCTGTACCCTCTAGAAAGGTTTTTCCTGCCACTGAAGCCAGGCTGACATCATCTCTTCAGAACATGTTAGTTACTACTAACATGTAGTTACTACTATTCTAACACCCTGGCATTTAACACAAGCACAAGTTACCATTTCAAGTAGAGGGTGACACACTTCCTAAGCTGGGACCTGTTCCTTTATAAATTCTTAGGGACTCTAAGTCTCCCAGTCCAGTGCCTTGTAGACCACCTGGCTCAACAGCTGTGAGTAATGATGACCACACACATTGTTAACTGCTCTCCCCACTGATAGTTACCGACTGGCTTCTCCACCAAAGCTATTACTAAGTCAAAAATTAGTAATTCATTAAGCCCTCAAATCTCCAGCACACAAGTTTAGGGCTTCTGGCTCTTTTACATATTAGGGTAGGGGGTTGCATCAATATAAAGGATTGCTACCTGTGCCGATATCTACAGTGTAAGTAAAAATTCGAGAAGCCTTAATTTGAATATATTAAAGATTTGTAAAGTAAATGGTCCTTCGCAACCTCACGCGGCCCGTCCTTAGACTGACCGAAAGGCCAAGGAAAAACTGAAAGCCGCCTCTTGCCCGGGAGGCCAGCAAGGGCCGGGGGCTCCGGCAAACCAAGAGGGCGGGCTTTAACCTCCTTGACCACTGATTGGCTAGCTGCAGCTGCCTGGCCGCCAATGATTGGCTGCTGGCGCAAGGAATGCCGGGCTTGGCACGCAGTACTGGTCCTCGGATCCAAAAGGAGGCTGCAATGGCGGCGGAACCTTCGACGGCTGGACTCGCCCCGGCTTGCTATCCGCAGATGCGGCGGCAGAGTTGGCCCTGTGGCGCCGCGGAGATTCAGTGCACTCAGTGTGGAAGAAGGGCGACCAGAGGTGAGCCGGCAGGCCCTGCCGCCTGGGCTGCAGCCGTGCCCCTGAAGGCGGCGGGCTTGACTAGGCCTTTGGCCTGGGCAGCAGGTGACTTGGCCGGTGTCGGGAGCCGGCAAGTTGCCCCCAAATGTAGGTGGAAATGGTGCCAGAGGCCTCCCCGGGGCCTGCAGACCCCTTTAGTGGGCGGTGGGAAAGTCAGTCTGTGGGGAGAGACTTCTCGCCTCCACGCGGCCCCCTTGTACTCTCAGGTGTCACCCAAAGCGTGTGAGCTCGTTTGGTTCCAGTTAGCGAACTTCCCTGACCTCACAGGCCCGCGACATCATCTGGCGGTGAAGAAGTAACAAAGCTTGACTTCCTTGCGTAGTTTTTGTTGTGGGAGTAACAAACTACCCTGAAATGTTTCTGAATTTAAAAAGATAATTAGGTGTGGTGGGGGCAGAAGAAGACTGCTGAATTTGGCTTAAAGCATGTAGATGATTTCACTCGTGGAATATAAAGAAAAAAACAAGCAACAGAAAAACTAAACCAAAACAAACTGTAGAAATCTTACTATAGATTTGAGGTTACCAAATGAAGGGGAGGGGGTAAAGAAAGGGCCCAGTGGCTTAAGGTAATTGTGCTTTAGTGATGGGTGTAATAAGTTAACATATGTTTGAATAGTTGTGAATCTGTACCTGTAAATCATATAAAATGTTATAAACCAACATTATTTCAATATAACAATATCATTAAAGAAAAACTTAACACACACAAAAAATGAAACTTTACTTTTCATGTTGTGTTTTTCTGTATAACAAGAGGACTACATTGCACTCCTGTTGATCTGCTAATTTAGAATCTACTCAAGTGAAAACAGGTTCAAGTTAATTTAAAATAACTTAAGATGCTTTAGAACGCCTGTTCTCTAATGAGTTGTTGAATTTCACCTGGAGTGACTGGAAAATATGCTTGTGACTGATAAGTGTGTGTATTACTTTCTAAGTGAAAGACATTTTGAGTTCCTCCAAGAAGGACTCCCTTTAGGAGACAGGAATCAGTGTAAAAAGTTTGGTTGCATTTTCTAGTGAAGAGTTAAGTTTGTCCTACTCCGCGTTTTGACATAGAAAATCTCTATTGTTTGAATGAAATAAATGTTTCAAAACCGTGTTTTAGAACATGACCTTTTAAATTACTGGCTCTCTATATATTTGTATTTGAATACATAAAAATACTCCATTGGGAAGATGATTTTGCATATAGACTTGTGAAAGTGATTTGTAAGCTGTAACGGACAAGTTATTTGGACTTGTGCAATATTAGAAATTTTGTAAGGATAAAGCTGTTGAAACATTTTTTATTTCTCTGATAATGTTATCTGTGGAATTTAAATAAAACCTTAAATTTCACTTTGGTTGTAAGCAAGTTTCAAATATTTCAATTGGCTTAAAAATTAAAGAATTTTTATCAAAATAATACAATTATAAATCAGTAAGAACACATTATTTTGCTAGTAAAATGTAGTTGACTTTTTTATCTACTTTTCCTTTTTTTCTTACAGAATCTTAAAATGACAGCCTTTGAAAATACATAGTTAAAACAAATGTTTCATATGATAAACTTCAGATTGTACTTAGAACATTAAAATCTTGGTATTAGTTTTCAATAAGAGAATGGTATTTCTCTAATAGATTCTAGGTCTCTGAAAATTATCTTTACGTCATTATATGTGTGTGAGACAGAGTATTATCTGGCTTCTGTCCTTGCCAGTGTCTTAGATCATTGTAAGACAGGAGTCTAGTCAGTGTCTCATGTCTGCCCTGCCTGTCTCCTGCACAGAATAGGAAATAAAACTTAGTAGAGGACAGTATAACAAAGTAGAAAGAATGTTGGACTTGGAAGCAATAATAGACTGGAGTCTGGATTATACCACTAGCTAGATTGCCAAAATGTTTTTCCATTTCTAGTTTAAATATTATCCCAGCCTGTTTAGCTGTAATTTATATACATTTATAAAATAATTTATATTTTATATTTATAAAAATCAAGTGAATTATGTCACAGCACTTTGTATAATTATAACATACAGAAAAGTCAGGGTATTCTGGGTACCAGATAACTGTCTAAACTAATGCAAACAATATTACATTACACTTTCTGATTTTTCTCCCTCCTCCTGACTTGTACGATTTCCCTTGACTTTGTTTAATAAGTCATCCATTTCAAAGTGAACTTGCTATTTTTTTCCTGTACAAGAGAATCGTCACTTCTTGGCCTTTTGGCTAAGATCAAGTGTAGTACAAAAGAGACTCCTATAATTTTCTTCTCTGATTAATCTAATACTGTATATTCAGGATTGACGAACTGTGAAAAGTTTGATTCACAATAGAATTTCATCAATAGGTCACCACTATGAACTTCAGTGTGGACATGCTTTTTGTGAACTGTGTTTGTTAATAACTGAGGAATACAACACAATTACATGCCCCAATTGTGAGGTAAGATATTTCTCTTCTGAATGCATTCCAAACTAATGCTAAAGGTAAAAACGTTTGTGAAATAAGGCATATTTGTAGTTAGAAAATAACATTTTTGCTGTTGAATCTTTAAGCAGAGGAGCCTAACAAAAGATAAAGCTTTTCCCATCCATTTTATAATTGTTCAGAATCATCAAGAAGAATACAAAGTTAAGGTCATTCATTTATCAGCCTACATATTTGGAGAACTTTGGTGGGAAATTACCTTTCTTTATTTTTAATAAAGTATGTTCTTTCAAGAACCTTGGTTATTACATTCTGGATTAAAAAAAATAATAAAAGATCTGGATTAACTGGATTATTTTACCATGTTAAACATGGTAAAAAAATATATATATATATACACACACACACTTATAAATTTTTGAGCATTTTTATAGCAGAAACATTTTCATCTTGGAAGATGCCTATTTTGAAATTACATACTTTATAAACTGTGGCCTTTATTGTGGGAAGTTCCTACCTCCTTTCCTTTTTTGACAATAGGTTCCTCAAATGTAGCTACCTACATAGCTAACCAAAGGGGATTGTAGCCCCTGTATTAGTAATTGAAAATCTCTGATAGACTCAGATAATGGTGGATAAGGAACACAAGAGAGGAAAGGAGCCAGCAGCAGCTGGCACTGTCTCCGCATATATCCATTCTATTCTAATTAATTTTTAAAAACAAATATTTTGCCTATTTTTGGCAAATGACTTTATATTTAATAGTCAAATCAATATACTTGTACTATTTTGAATAACATCTATAGTCATATTACAAATGTTGGTTATATTTTTAGGGTTGTAATAAATCTGTATCATTTTGATTAATTCTGACTCTTTAAGAAACACATAATGTGTTCCATGGCAGTATTTCCCCTTGTGCTGTGAGCCAGTTTGGGGGAAGTGGTTCTTAAAAATAACAGTCCAGTGTGACTTTTCTGTAGTTATCTAATAACACATGACTTTGGTATCATACTTAAATCCTTGACAGAACATACTTTTTCCCAATCAAAAATGTATATATACAGAGTGCTATAACATTTAGCACTCTGCTTTGTTACAAAGATTAACTTAGAAGCGTTTCCTGTATTTTGTCAGGTACTTTTATTTTTATTCTTTTTATATATTTTTCACATCATTATTCATTTTTAAACAATGTTTGCTTCCCCCCCCCCCGCCCTTCAGGTGTAGTCCCCACAGAATTTCCTTCAGTAATGCATCCATGCACCATCACCACAGTTGCCTGTGCTCCTCCCTCCCTACCCCTGATCTCTCTCCCTCCTCCTCCCCTGCAGGATGTCTCTGGTTTATAATTGTTTGTTTTTGTTTTGTGTTGTATTGTTATTATTTTTTCCCTGTCTTATTTGGTTCCCCTATATTCCTGCTATAAGTGAAACCATCTGATATTTTTCTTTTTCTTTCTCACTGATTTCATTGGGCATGATTCCTTCTAGCTCCATCCACATTGCTGCAAATGTCATGAGTTTATCTTTTTTGATTGCTGAATAGTATTCCATTGTGTATATATATCACATCTTCTTGATCCAGTCCTCTATTTTTGGGCATTTGAGTTGTTTCCAGGTTTTACCTATTATAAATAGTGCTGCAATAAACATGTTTTTGTGTCCTTTGGGTAGATCCCCAGGAGTAGAATTGCTGGGCATTATGGTAGCTCCATTTTTAGTAGACTGAGGAACCTCCAGACAGCTTTCCATAGGGGTTGGACCAGTTTGCACTCCCACCAGCAATTTAGGAGAGTTGCTTTTTCATCAAATCCTCGCCAACATTTGTTGTTGCCTGTTTTTTTGATATGTGCCGTTCTTACTGGCATAAGGTAGTATCTCAATGTGGTTTTGATTTGCATGTCCCTGATGATAAGGGATGTTGAACATTTTTTCATATGCCTGTTGGCCATTTGCATTTCCTCTTTGGAGAAGTGTCTTTTAAGTTCTTCTGCCCATTTCTTGACTGGATTGTTTACTTTGTTTTTGTTGAGTCATGTGAGTTCTTTGTATATCTTTGTGATCAGTCCCTTATCAGTTGTATGGAGTGCAAAAATTTTTTCCCAATCAGTGGGGTATCTCTTTGTTTTAGTTAATATCTCTTTTGCTGAACAGAAGCTTTTCAGTTTGATGTAATCCCCGGTGTTTCCTGTATTATTTTTAGTGGGTGCGTAATAGCCATCGTAAATCTCATTACTTTATTATAAATATTTGGATGGGTTTCAAAGTTTTTCATATACATAATTTGCACAAATATTCAAACCCACCCCTACCAAAAAAGCTTCATTAACAAGTTCTACTCTCTATCTCCAAAACAAATCCATCTTTTAATTTGTCATATTTGTTTTAGTATTTATCAATGATGGGCAAAAGATGTGTAAAAATTAGGTATAACCTTGTTTTAAGTTGCTTGTTTCCTGACTGCTGGTGAAACTGAGCAATGTTGACTTGTGTTGACTTAACATTGCTTTTGTATGTTGATTTTTCATCTCCTTTCTGGAAGGATCTTTAACAGATCTTTTTAGAACCTTTGCATATTTTCCTTTTGAATTTTTGTTTTAAAAATTTGTAAGGTTATTATCAACTTTATGAATGACATTATTGTTTGAAGACTGAGTAAACAATTTATTAAATGAATGTGGTTTTTTGTTTGTTTTTAATCTTATTTTGTCTTAAGGTTGCTACAACTACAAATTGGAGACAAGGATATTACCCAACAGATGGGTGTATTAAAGAAGATTCTTTTATGGAAAAAAAGCAGCCTAAAAAGTATGTTCTGGTGCAGTTATTTTAGAATTTAAAGTTCTATATATTTCTGAAGGATTGACAAAATATGTTTCGAACCCATTTATAAAGTGCTCTTTAAGTATGCAATTTGAATTAGCTGTTAATGAAATGTAGAATGAAGCTCCTAATGACGTTTAGTGTGTCTTTATTTAATGTGAAAAAGAAAAGTTCAGGATTACCACATCCCTAGTGGCACAGAGGTTAAAGTGTCAGTGCTATCAAGCTGTCACCAGCCACTGCAGCCTGAGTCCAGTCCCTGGCCAGGGAGCTGACCTACATGATGCAACAGACCTGTTAAGCTCCTCACCCTGTTCTGCTCCTCACTCTGTCTCTGAATCCTCTCACACCTCCCCCACCTTTGACCTACACCCCAGTTCTTGTATGCATAAATAAATAAAAATGAAACTTAAAAAAAAGTGAAAAAGAAAAGTGCAGGATTAGCACATCAAAACAAGAAGAGCTAAGAGTACAACACTAGCGTAAGCATTTGATTCTGGATGAGAGGAACATGTGGGGGAAAAATAACATTTCTCTATTAATTCTTTTTTTTTTTTTTTTTTTAAATATTAAATTTTATTTTTATATTCCCCCATACAATTGCAAACGCCCCATTCTGACCCCAATCCTTCCCCTCCCGCCCCCCACCCCCCAAAAAGTGTCTCTGGTTCATAGTTTTTTGTTGATTTTGATTTTCACTTTCTTATATTCATTTTCCTGGTCCCTTATTTAAGTTTTCTAGATTCCTGCTATGAGTGAGACCATCCGGTATTTTTCTTTTTCTTTTTGGCTTATTTCGCTGAGCATGATCCCTTCCAGTGCCATCCATGTTGCTGCAAATTGCATGTGTTTATCTTTTTTGAATGCTGAGTAATATTCCATGGTATATATGTACCACATCTTCTTGATCCAGTCATCTATTTTTGGGCATTTGGGTTGTTTCCAAAGCTTAGCTATTGTAAACAGTGCTGCTATAAACATAGGAGTGCAGGTGCTCTTTGGAATTGATGTTTCTGTGTCCTTTGGGTAAATACCTAGGAGTGGAATTGCTGGATCATATGGAAGCTCTATGTTTAGTAGGTCCAGAAATCTCCACACAGCTCTCCATAGTGGTTGGACCAGTTTGCACTCCCACCAACAGTGCAGAAGAGTTCCTTTTTCTCCACACCCTCGCCAACATTTGTTGTTGCTAGTTTTTTTAATATGTGCCATTCTCACTGGTGTGAGATGGTATCTCATGGTAGTTTTGATTTGCATTTCCCTGATTACAAGTGATGTTGAACATTTTTTCATATGTCTGTTGGCCATTTGCATTTCCTCTTCAGAGAAGTTTCTTTTTAGCTCTTCTGCCCATTTTTTGACTGGATTATTTTCTTTGTTGTTGCTGAGTCTCATCAGCTCTTTGCAGATTTTTGTGATCAGTCCTTTATCATTAGTGTTGGGTGCAAAAATGTTCTCCCAGTTGGTGGGGTTTCTCTTTGTTTTTGTTATTGTCTCTTTTGCTGTGCAGAAGCTCTTTAATTTGATGTAGTCCCAGCTGTTTATCTTTCTCTTCACTATCACTGCTTTGGGTGATGTGTCTGTAAAGATGTCTTTGATGTGCAAATCCCGTAGTGTTTCGCCTATATTTCCTTCTATGTATTTTATGGTTTCAGGTCTTATGTCTAGTTCTTTAATCCATTTTGAGTTGATTTTTGTGTATGGTGTGAGGTAGTGGTCAAGCTTCATTCTTTTGCATGTAGCGACCCAGTTTTCCCAGCACCATTTATTGAACAAACTTTCTTTGCTCCAATGCATAGTCTTTGCTCCTTTGTCGAAGATTAGTTGACCATAAATCTGTGGGTTTATTTCTGGATTTTCTATTCGATTCCATTGGTCTGTATGTCTGTTCTTGTTCCAATACCATGCAGTTTTGATGATTATGGCTTTGTAGTATAGTTTGAAGTCTGGGAGTGTGATGCCTCCATTTCCTTCTTTTTTTTCAGTAGAGCTTTGGCTATTCGGGGTTTTTGGTGATTCCATATGAATTTCATCAATAATTGTTCTATTTCTTTGAAGAATGCCATTGAGATTTTGATTGGAATAGCATTGAATCTGTATATTGCTTTTGGTAGGATGGCCATTTTAATAATGTTTATTCTTCCAATCCATGAGCAGGGGATGTCTTTCCATTTCTTTGTGTCTTCTTCTATTTCTTTTAACAGTGTTTTATAGTTTTCTTTGTATAGGTCCTTTACCTCTTTTGTTAGATTTATTCCCAAATATTTGATTTTTTTTGTTTCGATAATAAAAGGGGTGGTTTTTTTGATTTCTTCTTCTTCACATTTATTGTTTGTGTATAGGAAGGCTACTGACTTTTGCGTGTTGATTTTGTATCCTGCCACTTTACTGAATTGATTGATGAGTTGAATTAGTTTTTCTGTGGAGATTTTGGGGTTCTCTATGTATATTATCATATCATCTGCAAATAGTGATAGTTTGACTTCTTTTCCTATTTGGATTCCTTGGATGTCTTTCTCTTGTCTTATTGCTCTGGCTAGGACTTCCAGTATTATATTGAAAAGCAGTGGTGAGAGTGGACATCCTTGTCTTGTTCCAGATCTTAATGGAATTGCTTTCAGCTTTTCACCATTGAGAATGATACTGGCTGTTGGCTTGTCATAGATGGCCTTTATGATGTTGAGGTATGTTCCTTGTATCCCAAGAATTTCAAGGGCTTTTATCATGAATGGGTGTTGCACTTTGTTGAAAGCTTTCTCAGCATCTATTGATATTATCATATGGTTTTTATATTTCTTTTTGTTGATGTGTTGGATAACGTTGATTGATTTTCGGATGTTAAACCATCCTTGTGCCCCTGGAATGAATCCAACTTGGTCGTGGTGAATTATCTTATGGATACATTGTTGGATTCTGATAGCTAAAATTTTATTGAGGATTTTTGCATCAGTGTTCATTAGGGAGATTGGCCTATAGTTTTCCTTTTTTGTGTTGTCCTTATTCGGTTTTGGTATTAGTGTAATATTGGCTTCATAGAACGTGTTTGGTATTGTCCCTTCCTTCTCAATTTTTTGGAAGAGTTTGTGAAGGATAGGCACTAATTCGTTTCTGAATGTTTGGTAGAATTCATTTGTAAATCCATCAGGTCCTGGGCTTTTGTTTTTGGGGAGGTTTTTAATTACCATTTCAATTTCGCTGCTTGTAATTGGTCTGTTTAGGTGTTCTATTTCTTCTTTATCTAGCTTTGGGTGATTGTAGAGTTGTAGGAATTTGTCCATCTCCTCTAGATTGTTGAACTTGTTTCCATATAACTGTTCATAGTAGTTACTGATTATTCTTTTGATTTCTGCTGTGTCCGTTGTGATTTCTCCTCTTTCATTTATGATTCTGTGTATTTGTGCTTTCTCCCTTTTTTCCTTTGTGAGCCTGGCTAGGGGTTTGTCTATTTTATTTATTTTTTCAAAGAACCAGCTCTTGGTTTCATTGATCTTTTGGATTGTTTTTTTAGTTTCAATTTCATTTATTTCTGCTTTGGTTTTTATTATTTCTTTTCTTCTACTGGTTCTGGGGTTTTTTTGTTGTTCTTTTTCTAGATCTTTGAGCTTCGAGATTAGGTTGTTTCTTTGAGTTCTTTCTTGTTTTTTGATGTGAGCTTCTATTGCTATATATTTTCCTCTTATTACTGCTTTTGCTGCATCCCATACATTTAGGATATTGGTGTCCTCCTTGTCATTCAATTCAAAGAATTTTTTAATTTCTTCTTTGATCTCCTCATTAGTCCAGTGGTCTTCCAGTAGTGTGGCTTTTAATCTCCATGAGGTAGGATAGTTCCTTGCCTTCTTTTTATGATTTATTTCTAGTTTGATGCCTTCGTGGTCAGAAAAGATGGTTGGTATGATTTCTATCTTGGTGTATCTGTTGATGTTTGTCTTGTGCCCCAGTATGTGATCGATCCTGGAGAATGATCCGTGTGCGCTTGAGAAAAATGTGTACTCCGTTTTTTTGGGGTTTAGTGTTCTATAGATGTCTGTTAAGCCCAAATGCTCTAGGTCCTTATTTAGAGCTTTAGTTTCTTTACTTATTTTTTGTCTTGTTGATCTATCCATTGTTGATAGTGGTGTGTTGAAGTCTCCCACTACATATGTGTTTTCTCTGATGTCTGTTTTCAGAGAGGACAACAGTTGTCTGATATATTTTGGTGCTCTTTCGTTTGGTGAGTATATGTTAATGAGTGTTATTTCTTCTTGAAGTATTGTCCCCTTGATCATAATGTAGTGACCATTGGGGTCTCTTTTTATTTTTTTGAGTTTGAAGTCTGTTTTATCTGATATAAGTATAGCTGTTCCTGCTTTCTTTTTTGGCCCATTTGCTTGTAGGATTGTTTTCCATCCTTTGACTTTGAGCCTATTTTTATCTTTTGTAGCTAAATGTGTTTCCTGGAGACAGCAAAAGGTTGGGTTTTGTTTCTTAATCCAGGCTGCAACTCTGTGTCTTTTTATTGAAGAGTTTAGTCCATTTACATTTAGAGTTAATATTGATATGTTAGCATCTGTATTTGCCATTATGTTTGTCTTTCCTTTGATTTTATTTATTTATTCTTTTAATAACTTTTTTTTTTTTTGGTCTTCTTTCGTTGTTATTCGTCCCTCTGAGGTTCTGGCTTTAGGATTCCTTGTAGTATTTTTTGGAGTGGGGGTTTAGTCGCAATGAAATTCCGGAGTTTCTCTTTGTCTGGGAAGGTCCATATTCTTTCTTCATGGAGGAAAGAGAGCTTTGCGGGATAGAGTATTCTTGGTTGGCATCTGTTTTCTTGGAGTCTGTTGACTATGTCCCTCCACTCTCTCCTTGCCCGTAGTGTTTCTTCAGAGAAGTCTGATGTCAGCCTGATTGGTTTTCCTTTGAATGTTATCTGTTTCTTCCCTCTTGTCAGCTTCATTATTTTTTCCTTGTCCTGGATTCTTGGGAGCTTTACTATTATGTGTCTTGCTGTGTTTTTCCTTTCGTCGTGGAAGTTTGGTGTTCTTCTTGCTTCTTGTATATCAATTTTCAGCTCCTTCTTCGCATTTGGGAAGTTCTCTTCAATTATATCCATGAATATTTTCTCTGTTCCTACATCTCTCTCCTCTCCTTCTGGAATTCCTATAACTCTTATATTTCCTTTCCTCATGGAGTCAGATAGTTCCCGAAGTCTTTCTTCATTCTTTTTCCTTCGTACTTCTCTTTCCTTTTCTGTTTTGGTTCTTTTTATTTCTGTGTCTTCAAGATTACTTATTCGTTCTTCCATTTCATCTATTCTGCTTTCATTGCTTTTCCCAGAGTTCTTTAGTTCCTCCATTAATTCTTTGATCTCCTGCATTTCTCTTACTTCCCTCTTTAGGGACTCAATTTCCTTCTTCTGATCTATCACTTTTTTAATCATGGCAATTTTAAATTCTCTTTCTGGAAGGCTCAGAAGTTCTTCCAAGTTGCTGTCGTTGCAATCTGGGGAGTGGTTTTCTTTTTGTGGTGTGCTTCTTTCCTGAGGAGTTGTTAGGTTGCGTGTGGTTCTTCTACTCCCTACTGTCTGTTTTCTAATTTGTCGTATGCGTTGGGACACTGTGTTGCTCGGACTGACTGACATCTTGGGTGAACTTCTCCGCTCCCCTCTGGCTCTTCCAGGAGCCATCTCTGTCTTCTGGGGGAGCTTTCTGCTGGTTTTAGGCAGTTTTTACTGAAGAAATGTCCCTGTTCTCAAATGGCGAAGCGGGATGCAGTCCCTGCGCCTCCGGTTTCAGGCACACTCTTCTGCGCACCCGGTCTGCCCCGGACGTGGGTGCCTGCTCCCTCTGTGGGCTCAGACTGCTGGTCGGAAGGGGCCTGGCGTGGAATAACTTCCAGGCTGCCCACTGGGTCCTCCAGAAACCTTCTGCCCTTTTCAAGCAGTCTTAAGAAATGTCCTGTTTTATAGGGTGTTAGTGACTTTTTTTTTTCCTGGTCGCTAGGTGGCGCCAGAGATCTCTCCTATTGTCCTTGGGGGGCTGTTTTTTGCCTTCCCCCACCCCGTGGGACAGAGAACAGAGCGGGAATGGTAGGGTACACCTCAACAGCTTTGGGGTGCTGTGTCTGCCTTGTGCCCCACCGTCGTGGAGAAACCACGCCCCGAATTTTCGTGCCCCGGGTCTCAGTTCAAAGCCCTCAGTTCCAGGACGCGGGCTGTAGCCCAGTTCAGTGGCGCGGGAATGGCGCCTTTTGCACAGCTCCCGTGCCTGGGCGCCTGGTTCCTGCTCACTCAGGGAGGGACCTTCACCTCAGTGAGGACCTCCGTGCGTCTCCCCGCAAGCCTAGGTCGCAGGCGCGGGGACCTGGGCAGCCGCGATCCAGGTCTGCACTTGCTTTTCAAGCGCGCCAAGCGCGCCGCGTTTCCGCGCAAGCTTACCGGCAGCCCGGGCTGTGTGCGCGTCTCCCGGGGTCTTTGTTCTTCTCTATTGGCGCCCGGAGCCGTTCGCTCACCGCCGCGGCGGATCCTGCAGGGTTGTCTCAGCTCCCGTTCACGGGGTGTGGTGGCTGCAATAGTTCCTTTCCACTCACAGTCCCGCTTGCTGCGTCGTTTGTTCTTGTGGGCCGTTTTGGTTTGTTGTTTCCTCCTCTCTGCCGGTCGGAGAGTGCCGCCTCTGTGGGCGGGGGAGGGGAGCAGGGTTCTGCGCTTCCCTCCCTTCTAGTCCTCTTTTATGGCCACTTTCTTCTTCGGGCAGTTTGCTGGCGTCACCCGTTTATCTTCCGTGTCCCAGTTCTCACTGGGACCTGCCGCTTTTCCTCCCTATTCACTTTTTTTAATGGGAGATCTTACTCGCAGTGTCTCCTCGCAGCCATGTTGCTCCGCCCCTCTCTCTATTAATTCTTAAGTATAGCATGGGTACAGTACAATGGGGTACTTTGAGTAGAAGTGATTTATAAATGGGATTGGAACGCTTTTATTCATATTTTTCCATAACATTTTGTACATGTATGTATTAACTGGTAATGATTTTATATTAATAATGCAGAAATTTTTTTAAAAAATGCAACCACGTCATTTGTTACACTAATTTATGTATCCTTTTATTAGTCTGTACAGCCCCTTTAAAAGGATATACCACATTAAAGTATACTTAATATGGTAGTAAATTATGTGGGAAATTAAAGAAACAATACCATCAAATAACAATCTCATTTGGAACTTTTCAGTTTTGCTAATGGTAGCAGGCATCTATAAATCACCCCAATTCTTCACTTCTCTTTCACTTTGCCTCCTGAAGATTCTAACTTCTACACTATCTCCCGTATTCGTAATTATGCTCTGTTTCTACTACTCTGTTTAATTCTTGTTCATTTTTTCTACATCTTCAACTCTTCATATTCTTCCCTTTTCTATAATTCTTCATTGCCAATACAAATAAAATTCAAAATTCTTTAGATTAACACTCATGACTTTTTATATTACTGCTGCAGCTCCTCTGAGCAAGCTTAGATGGGAACCAAAAGAATTTTAATAGTTACAGTCTTTGGGTAGTAAGTGGACTTAACTGAAGTCTCATGACTGATTATTGACAGAACCACAAGTAGAACGCAGGCTTATTGAATGCCAGTATCTTATTGAATGCCAACTCCTAGGAATTGTATTCTACCACTGCTTCCTCCATAAGCTCTCTGTGAAGTAAATAGAGTAAATCTTTTGGAAGTTTTCTGGCTTCATATGATTTAGTGTCCAAATCTGAATATCTGCAGGGGTCTATTTTCTTGGTGAGGTAGACTGAATTTAAACAATGAACGGTACAGATTGTGGCCAACTAAAGATTCACCCTCTCCAAAGGCAGTAGCCACTACTCCACTCTGGCCAGTTATTCCTATGTGTTAAACCAACCCAGTGTTGCCAGGTCTTCCTGTACATTTTCCCAAGAGAAAATATTGATAGAAATCTGGACTTCTATGTGAAATTTCTGACTTTTTAAACATCAGCCAAGAAAAATATGATTATACTATTGTCTAGATGTGTATAACATCTAGTGTGGTTACAGAGTGAAATGTCACTTTCAAAAAGTAAGTGAATCCAGTTCAGGAATCCATGATTTTTCAAAATGATCAGTTTTTAAATTCTCCATGTCAGGTTTTTATGCTATAAACTCATTCGCTAATTTCAGTGGAGTTTGGTTTTAAAATAGGATCCCTTGATATAAAATATATTTCTTCCCTTATATATTTTTACTAATTTGAAGCAGGAATTAAATACTGCACTCCTCAGATCTGTTGCACTCATGTATGTTTTTAAAACATGAATATTCACTTTTTGAATGTTAAAAGTTAGTCTATTTCTCTCTAACAGGAGTATCATTTAAATATCATAATTTCTCTACAAACTATTTTACACTTATGATTCACTTGCTCAGCAAACTCTTAAGTGTTTCCTTCATGCTAGCCAAAATAGTGATATATAGATAAAAATAGGCAAAAACTTGAGAATCAATAAATGAGAAATGCAACAGACTCTTTTCTTACATCGTTCATTTTTATACAATATTTGCTTTTCCCTTCATGTGCAGTCCCCATAATTCTCCCACCACTATGGCACCCATGACCATCCCCATAGTCCCTTGTGTTCTTCCTTCTCCTGTTTTGACCCCTCTCTCTCCCTCTTACCTGCTGTATGCCTCTGATCTGTGGTTTGCCTGCAATTTTTTTTTTCCTGACTCTTATAACAAACTTTTTACTTGCAAATTAACTTAACCTGGTAAATCTCTACCAAAATTATTAGGTAAGGAGAAGTGATTGGGAAATTAAAGCACAATTTATACTGTTACCTATTTTTAGGAATTTGTTAAGATTAATTCTTGATTAAATTGTTAGATCATATTTAGTTAGGTTTCCCTCTCTTTGTTTATCACAGATGATTGACAACCCACTTGTCTTCTTACAAATAATGTAAGTTATTTTTGATAGAGGATAAAAATTGAAATAGATGGCTAAACTGTTATATTGATATTGACATTTTTCAGGAAAAAGAATTATTCTCAGAGCCTTAAGAAAACTGCTGATCAGGTCATTGTTGATTCAGAATATTCTGCCTCCATTTGCAGGACTGTTTTGAACCCATCAACTATAATGACGGTATGAAAAATGTTATTTATAAAGTAAGATGAAGTAAAACATTTTTAGTTTGTCTCTGGTACCTTAATTTCCCCTTCTCTGAAGGTTCCTATAATTATGGGTTCTTTTGGAAGTCTAAATGTAACAGAGGTAAACTTACACTGCTTACATGGATCTCTTTGTTAATTCTAAACCATGCTTGAATAATTCTCTTTTCTTTCCAAGGCAGTCCATTCCACTTTTGACCAACTTTATTATTCTTGATATTTACTTGTATGTAACATCATACTTTTGAGCCTTGTGAAAATTTGTACCAATTCTGTGAAATTTGTACAAAGTGCAGGTTTCTAAATTCTAAGTGTGATTTTCTAGTTATTTTAATGGCAACCAAAAGGCCTTGGTTTGTTGATGATTTGTTGTTAGATCAAAATTTTGCCTGTTATTATGCAAGATAAGTTTAAATAATGTGTTGTTTTAATTTAAGGTTAGAAAAAAGAACAAACTCCATACTACAGACTTGTTAAGGAGATCATATTGGGCTGGGGTGGAGAGCGCGCTTCATCTTGCAATTTTGCTATTTTTTATTCCTGTTTAAATCTTAATATAGCAAAATTATAATCTTTTTGCATATGTTTTCACATATGGTCTTCTAGTGCCACGATAAATTTTCCAAGAAAGTTAAAACATTGCAAAATGATTGCAAGGCATCCCATCTTTTTAAAAAAACAAAGATATCTTAAAAAAAAAAAATCTGAGTTGCTATAATTACTGAAATGTTAATGGTTTTTCATCTCTGGCTAAGTAGGAGTAAAAGTGTTATTGTTGCTTTTTTTAAATTTTTTTTTAAAGATTTATTTTTATTTGTTTATACAAGCACTGGATACAGTCAGAAGCGCGGGAGGGTGAGAGAATTCACCAGAGCGGGGAGCAGAACAGGCAGACTGATGAAGTATACTGCTGAGGGGAGCAGCGGGCACGGCAGGCGAGGTCTGCATGCCATGTGGGACCCTTGCTGGTGGCCAGGGATCGAACTGGTGCTGCAGAGGCTGCAGGCAGCTTTGCAGCCCAGTGCTCAACCACTGTGCCACCTGTGAGGCCCTGTTGTTGCTTTTTTAAAGATTTTTGTGGTGGGTCTGTGTTGCTTTTGTAATTAAAATGGTAGCTTGATGATTTTGCAACTAATGTATCAGAGCATCCAGTTTCATATTTTATGAATTCTGCCTTCTTAGGAGAGCAAAACTGCTGAAGAAATTGATGAAGCATTGATGATAGCAGGTTATAATCTTGAACAATTAAATGTTGCTGTAAAAGTAAGCATTTTTGAATGATTAAATTCTATCATGAATTAAGGCATGTTTTCCCTTTAATATATATATTTTAATGCATTATATCACTAAGTTACTAAACATGATAATCTAATGATAGAGAAACATAAAAAAGAACGGAAAACTCCCATGACCAGCTCTAGATTTGGTCTTCTAGCCTTGTGCTAGCTACTGAAACTGAAGCTGTTTTAAGGAACTATTCCATGTTTGCTATAAACTATTCCATGTTTGCTATGAATTTTGTCTTGGAAGCATTGCAGATCATCTCTCTAACATTACTCATTATTTGGCTATAGAATCCTTAACACAAAGAATTTTATTCTCTTATATTCCTTCCTCCATCCCCAAACGAGAACTCACTCATTTAGTAATAAAGAACAAGCTCCTAAGCACTGAACAACAAATTTACAACCAACGCATTCAAAAGGTTATAGCTACATTTAAGATTTCAATGTAGGAAATTGAGAAGAGGGAACAAAATGAAGCCCCCTAAGAGTCTGATGAATGCTTCCCCTGTTCTTGTATATCTCACATGAAAACAAATGCACTCTATTACAGTACCCCAAAAGTTTTAATTTATTCCAGTATCTAAAGTCCAAAATCTCATCTAAATATCTCTAATCAGGTATGCATGAGACTCAGGGTATAATTCTTGGAACAAAATTCTCTCCAATGGTGAAAATCATTGAGATTATTATCCAAATAGTGTTGAATCTGTAAATTTCTTTTGGTAAGATGACCATTTTGATAATGTTAATTCTACCAATACATGAGCAAGGGATATCTTCCCATTTCTTTGTGTCTTCTTCTGTTTCTTTTAACAATGTTTTATAGTTTTCTTTGTATAGGTCCTTCACCTCTTTTGTTAGGTTTATTCCCAAGTATTTGATTTTTTTTTTTTTGTTTCAGTTAAAAGGGTGGTTTTCATAATTTCTTCTTCTTCAGATTGATTATTTGCATATAGGAAGGCTACTGATTTTTATGTGTTGATTTTGTATCCTCCTACTTTACTAAACTGGCTGATTATTTCTAGTAGTTTTTCTGTGGAGTTTTTAGGGTTCTCTATGTATATTGTCTGCAAATAGTGATAGTTTTACTTCTTCTTTCCCTATTTGGATTCTTTGTATTTCTTTCTCTTGTCTTACTGCTCTGGATGTCCTTGTCTTGTTCCACACAAGGCCTTAAGGGAAAGGTTTTCAGCTTTTCACCAATGAAGGTAATATTGGCTGTGGGTTTAGCCAAATATATGGCTTTCATTATGTTAAGGAATGTTCCATCTGTCCTAGAATTTCAAGTGACTTCATCATAAACAGTGTTGAACTTTGTCAGATGCTTTCTCAGAATCTATTGATGTGATCATATGGTTTTTATATTTCTTTTTGTTGATGTATTGAATTACATTAATTGGTTTTTGGATGTTGAACCATCCTTGTGTCCCTGGAATAAATCCCACTCAGTCATGGTGTATTATATTTTTGATGCATTGTTGGATTTCTGCTGGCTAGAATTTTGTTGAGGATTTTTGTATGAGTGTTCATTAGAGAGATTGGGCTGTAGTTTTCTCTTTTTTATGTTGTCCTTGTTCAGTTTTGGTGTTAGTGTAATGTTGGCTTGATAAAATGTGTTTGTTAGTATACCTTCTTTCTCAATTTTTTGAAAGAGTTTGTGTAAGATAGGCATTAGTTCATTTCTAAATGTTGGTAGAATTCATTTGTGAAACCATCTGATTCTGGGCTTTTGTTTGGGGAGGGTTTTGATTATGTTAAGGTAGTCTATTCTTTATCTAGTTATGGATGATTGTATAATTCTAGGAATTATCCATCTCTTCTAGATTGTTGAACTTATTTGCATATAAATGTTCATAGTAATCTCTGGTCTTTGGATTTCTGCTGTGTCTGTTGTAATTTCTCCATTTTCATTTATGATTCTATTTATTTGTGTCTTCTCCCATTTTTTCTTCATGAGCCTGCCTAGAGGTTTGTCTATTTTGTTTGTTTTTTCAAAGGACCAACTTTTGGATTTTTTTTTTAATTTCTATTCTGCTTTGATTTTTATTATTTCTTCTGGTTTTTTGGGGGTTTTTTTTGGTTGTTCTTTTTCTAATTCTTTGAGATGGGTGATTAGGTTACTTCTTTGAGTTCTTTCTTGTTTCTTGATATAAACCTGCACTGCTATAGACTTTCCTCTTCTTACTGCTTTTGCTGTGTCCCATGCATTCTGGAAAGTTGTGTCCTCATTGTCATTCATCTCAGGGTATTTTTTTTATTTCTTCTTTGATCTCCTCATTAATCCAGTGGTCTTCCAATAGTTTGGGTTTCAATCTCCATGAAGTCGGAGGGTTCCTTGCTTGCTTTTCATGATTTATTTCTAATTTGATGCCTTTATGATGCCTTTATAATTTTGATCGTAATGTATGTTTTGTTGTTTGTCTTGTGTCCCAATATGTGATCAGTCCTGGAGAATGATCCATGTGCACTTGAGAAAAATATGTACTCATATTTTTGGGTGCAGTGTCCTATAGAGTGTCTATTAAGCCCATGAAGTCTAAATAGTTATTTAGAGCTCTGGTGTTCTTGGTTTTGTTTTTATTTGTTTGTTTGTTTTTCTCATTGACCTGTCCATTGGTGAGAGTTTGAAGTTTCCTACTACATATGTATTTTCTCTAATGTCTGTTTTCAGAGTGATAATAACTGATATATTCTGGTGTGCTTTCATTTGGTGAGTATATGTTGATGAGTGCTATGTCTTCCTATGTATTGTCCCCTTAATCATAATGTAGAGACTGTATTTGTCTCTTTTTTACCTTTTTAGTTTGAAGTCTGTTTTATCCAATGAAAGTATAGCTGTTCCTGCTGTCTTTTTTTGTCCATTTGCTTGTAGGATTGTTTTCCAGTCTTTCATTTTCAATGTGGTTATCTTTTGTAGTTAAATGTGTTTCCTGGGTTCTGTTTTTTAATCCAGCCTGCTACTCTGTGTCTTTTTATTGATGAGTTTAGTTGTTTTACATTTAGAGTTAATATTGATACACTAGCATCCATATTTACCATTTTGTTGGCCTTTTTGTGATTCTGTTTGTTATTTATTCTGTTCTTCCTATTCATTCCTCTTTGGTTTTGGCTTTAGGTCTTCTTGTAGTATTTTTTGGAGTGTGGCTTAGTAGTAATGAATATCTGGTCATTCTGTTTGTCTGAGAAGGTCCTTATTTTTCCTTTATAGAAGAAGGAGAACATTGTGGGGTAAAGTATTCTTGGTTGACATTTGTTGACTTGGCATTTGTTGAATATGTCACTCCATTCTCTCTTTGCCTGTGGATTTCTTCAGAGAAGTCTGATGTCAGTCTGATTGGTTTTGCTTTATAGGTTATCTGTTTCTTCCCCCTCATTAGCTTCATTATTTTTTCCTTGTCTTGGACTCTTGGAAACTTTACTATAATGTGTCTTCCTGTAGTTTTCCTTTCATTGTGGTAATTTCGTGTTCTCCTAGCTTTCTGTATGTCTATTTTCATTTCCTTCTTCATGCTTGAGAAGTTCTCTTCGATTGTCTCCTTGAATAGTTTTTCAGTTCCTTTTTGTCTCTCTCCTCACCTTCTGGGCTTCCTTTTTCATGTTGTCAGATAGTTCTCCAAGTGTTTCCTTTGTACTTCTCTTTGGGGTTCTTTTTGTTTCTGTATCTTTGGGAGTATTGATTCATTCTTCCATTTCTTCTATCTTTGTGGCTTTTCCCAGAATTACTGAGCTCCTCCACTATTCCCTGGATAGCCTCCATTTCCTTCATTACTTCTTTAGGGATTCCTTCTCGTTCCTCAGTTCATTGATTAAATTCTTATCTCTTTCTGCGTTTTCTCCTAACTCGTTTCATTATGGCGTTTTTGAATTCCTTATCTGTTAGGTGGAGATATTCTTTGTGTCCGTATTATAAGGTTCTGGAGGTTGACTTTCCTTCTGTGGGGTGTTGTTCCCAGAAGGGCCATTTTGATCACTTGATTTTTCTTTCTTCCTATTGTCTGTCTTCGATTTTGTTCTATTTGTAGTACCCTATTACTACTGGTGCTGGTGGGCATGATTTCTGATTTCTCTTGCTGAGGCATGGATGTGTACGCCTGGTGTCTGAGCTGTTGTGGCTGGTGAGTAGAGGTGTAGATGGGGGCTCTTATATTTTCCCCCTCCACTGTCTTCAGCTTTACTCCTGCTCTAGATAGGTGGTACTTTCTGTTGCTCTTCCCAGGGTGTTGGGGGCTACCAGACTTTGGAATTGGGGGATTCCACAGTTGCCACCTGGGTGCACATGCAGACACTATTTTATTATCGAAGTTGTTCTGAGCTATGATTTGCTCCAGGAGCCCCTGCTTTTTTGGCCTCCACTATGTAGGATGGGATCCAACAGCTCAGCCTGTGGTAGTCAAGAGTCTCATGTAGAGCGTTGCCCCTCCAGATGCAAACTGAGGCCAAGTCCACTGGGAGGTGCTTGCATGCAGGGTGGGATGTACTTCTCTGTTGCATTGCTAGGTCCCTGTAGTGTGCTGTAGAAGAATACAGAGATTGATAGAGAATAAGAAGTGAAAGAAGAGATAAGAGGAAAAAAAGAGGATGATAAGGAAGTGTAAAAGGAACGAAGGTGAGAGAAAAAGAGGGGCAAGATAGTGGGAAGTTGAAATAAGAGGAGGAAGAGGAGGGAATGTAACCCAAAGAGAAAATAGTAGTAATAATGTTAAAGGGGAGAAAGGAGAAAACTAGAGGAAACAGAAATAGATAAAAGGGAAAGGAACAACAGACAACCAACTGACCAATAGAGTCCTGCTTCTCAGAACTCTGATGTCTCCCAGTGAGCTAGTTGTTGCTGTTTTAGTCTGGTCTGCTGGGGCGAGCCAAAGAGCTAAGAAGGATAGTATTCCCTTGGCCTGCTATCTCCCTTGTAGTGTACTGAGGGAGGATAAAAAATGAGCACAAAAGGGTGAGGATTGAACTGTGGGGTGTCCAAAAGTCTCTGACAAGCTCCACTGTGGCTGTGGGATCGGCCCTCTTTCTGGGCCTGTGAGGTAGTTGGGCAAGTGTGGGTTATTCTGAGGCCTTTTTCCACATGAGGGCTTGGGATATCAAGAGGCCCCCAATGCAGGGACCAGCCCTATTAGGCTCTACATTGTGCCCTTCCCACTGGTGGGTGCGACCATTTAAATGATACATCCTTCCTGGGATGACTTCAGCTACAGCCTCCAGTTTTCAGTGTAGTTAGTTGGTGTTTTTGTTCTGATCACTAGGTGGCATCAGAGATATCTAGCAAAGTTTCAGAGCTGTGCTTGTTCCAGCAGGTCCCCTGGGAAAGGCAGGGGAGGAGTGGGGAGCAAAGGGAAGTGCCACAACAAAGCAACCAGAGCTGGGTGTCTGCGCCAAGGCCCCATTTGCCCACCTGTTATTGTCTGGACCTCTCAGATATCTCAGGATGTTGTGTTCTCCAAGTTTTTCTTCTTTTCCACTGCATAAAGTGGGCTGGCTCTGTGGTGAGGGAAGGAGAAGGATTCCAGATCAATGAGGTTTCTCTCCTCCCTTCCCCTATCCTTCCAACATTCCTCTCCTTCTGGGCAAATCACCAGTGTAGCCAAGTTTGTCCAACACATGTGGGCTCCACCAGGAACTCACAGTTATTTCTACTTATCTGTCCCTATCTGATTTTTTTTTTTAAGATTTGTTTACTTATGCATACAAGAACTGGGGTACAAGCTAGAGGTCCAGGGCAGGGGGTTGAGAGGATTCACCAGAGACAGAGTGGGGAGCAGAACAGGCAGATTGAAATGCACTGCTGAGGGGAGCAGCAGGAGAGACTATGTGGATTAGTTCCCTGGCCAGGGATCAAACTCGTGCTGCAGTGGCTGCTGATAGCTTCATAGTGCTGACGCTTAAACCCCTTGCACCACCAGGGAGACACCCCCCCTCATCTGTTGTTTTTATGGGAAAACTTGATCCTAGCATCCGTTCACTGCCATGATGGTGACATCATCCCCAAATATCACTTTTGTCAAGAATCCTGCTATTCTTTAATTCAATTTTGGACAGAAATTCAGCTATCCAAAATGATTTGCTTCATACAGTGATAAAAAGAAATTAGAAAAACTTAGAAAATTTAAAATATTGGTAGATCAACCTCTGCTCCTTTCTTAAAACCTTTCTGGGAAGATTTCCCAACCTCTCTTGGCAACACTTTCTTTCATATACACACACACACACACAAACATATATATACATACACATATATGTGTATGTATATATATTACATCATCCTTCATTTCTGTGCCATGTATGATTTCCCATGAAATTCTTACCACCAGTTGACCTGTGCACCATATCACCATAGTCCCTTGTGCTCTTCCCACCCCTGTCCTGATCCTTCTCCCTCTTCCTCTCCTACAGAATTTTCTGGTCTATGGTTGCTTGTTGATTTTGATTTTTACTTTATTATAGTTTTTTTTTTCCTGATCCCTTATTTGGTTCCTCTCCATTCCTCCTATAAGTGAAACCATCTGATATTTTTCTTTCTGGCTAATTTTGCTGAGCATAATCCCTTCTAGCTCCAACCATGTTGCTGCAAATGGCATGAGTTTATCCTTTTTGATTGCTGAGTAATATTCCATTGTGTATATATACCACATCTTTTTGATCCAGTCATCTATTTGGGGGCATTTGGGTTGTTTCCATAGCTTACCTATTGTAAATAGTTGCTCTTGGCAACTTTCTAACAGCCCTCATCATCAACAGATTGTCATCTTTATTTCAAAATTAGTATTTGCTCCATTTTACGATGCTGTCTCTGCACTAGACGAGGGTGAAAAGAGCAAGTCAGACATTGTTTTGAGCAACATTCATTTCAACAGAAATTACTACTAATTGACCCAATAATCAGCCTTCTCTACCCTTTGCTGAATTATATTCCTTTTTTTGCTTTTCAGATTTCTTAGCCCTTAATAATGTGGCATTTCCATACAACCCACATTCACATTCTCAGCATCCCTCTGTAGTTGTGGAACTAAGTATTTGAATAAGGGTTCAGCCTTTTGTTTGGTTAAAAGGAAATTACTCATACATCTAATAATATCTGATAACTTTGTAAAACTACAGTCCTACATTGTTACTTCTTATAGCAGGTTTTGTTAGCCTTTGGAAAATTCTAGATGTGACTGTGTCCATACTAGGATTGGGCTATCATATTGGTAATGTCTATAAACAACCCAACTAGATAACTGGCACTCCACAGTTAAGGTTTTGGCTTTCTAAATTATCTTAAGTACATCTTTGACTTATATAGACACAGCCAGGAGGGAACTATTAGTAGCCATCCATCCAGGTCACTGGATATTCTTTTCATGTACCAATAGCTCTTTTTGTAGACTTGTGGTAAATGAAGATTAAAAAACTAATTTTATATTCAGTATTCCTCAAATGCATTTCAGTAGGATCTAAAAAAACTTGGTCAATTATTAATTGGTGTCAAACACTCTTAGTGTGTGTGTATCACAGGTAGTAAAGGGAACTGTCTGGTATCTGGACAGTGGGTAGGGAGTTTAGAAAGCTTAGTGTATTTTCTAGACCATTTTGCCAATCTTTGAATACACAGTGCTAATGCAGATGTGATCTTGCTGACAAGTACCAAAATTTAAAGTTGAACTTTGTTACTTACTCCATTTTTATGATTTAATCTCCTCTTGTGTTGTAACTTTGAAAAGCAATAAAGTACCATGAAATTTTAAAATTATGTTGGACACTACAATTCCTGTAAAATAAAAATACCAAATTAGTCTTTGTGTTATGTTTTTTCTAGGTCCTTGAACACATGCACAATCAAACAAAAGAAGAGACCTTCAGTCTTATAGAAAGTCTGGAGAAACAGTTTGATCAGCTTTTTACTTCTCTTGATTCCAGGTAGTATCTTAGAATTATAGATTCAAAGGCACTGAAATTTTTAACTTTAACTTGTCATTTTATTCCTTTTTATTAAGTAAATTTTAAACAAGCTTACAACTTCACAATAAACAATGTGTACTTTAAAATAGTTTTTGACTGTTTGCCTTCTGTTCCCAAGGCTGTTAGAAATAAACTTCTTTCTTTCTTGTAGAATTTAGCATACTTGAGAAAATGTATGTTTTTTCTTATATATAGTTTCATTATTTCATGTGTTTTTTGCATCAAAGCAACTAATACTCTTAACACTATCTAATACACATTTCTAAGCAAATACTGTATTATATATCCATAACTTTAAAAAATGTTTATACATATATAATCTTTAGGTTAAATTTCATAACAGTTATGGCTTGACCCCACCAAAAAAAAAAAATTAGTAATATCCTTGTCCATTTAACTTATTTTTTGTTTTGTTTTAATCAGGAGACCTAGACAAAGGCCCAATACACAATGAATAACTCAGTTGATGCTATGGTCTTTAGTAATGTCATTTTCTTTCCTTTTTTATAGTAGTCAAATATATATATATTATATATATATATATATAAAATTCACCTTTTTAACAATTTTTAGGAGAAATTTTGTTTACATTTTTAAGGAACACCCAAACTGCTTTCTGCTGTGGCTACACAAATGGCACCTATACCAGAAGTGCACAGTTGTCTAATTTCTTCATATCTTCACCAACAATTGTTATTTTCCCTTTTTAAAAAGTAATTACCTTATTAATGGGTATGAAGTAGTATCTTAGATTTTTTTCAGCAAGTAAAATTAATTTAATACTTAAGAAATACATATATCATTTTTTCTTAAGTTGTCATTTTTAACTTTGTTTATAACAATGTAGAGAACATCAAATTTCCATCTTTGCAAATTAAACCTTACACATGAAATTGTCTAAATAATAGACATCCCTCAGGGTTTTTCAATTTTTTTTAATTGAAGTGATACTGCATTTAGCATTGTATAAGTTTCAGATGCTCGTTGTTGAGAAATATACCACATTAAGTTCACCACTAAAAGTCCCAGTCTATCCCTCACCATACCATTGTCACCTTTTTCCTATTCACCCACACTCCCCTTACGATAACCACTAAATCAGTCTTATAGTCCAAATATATATTTTTGCTTTAGTTATGAGTGAAATCATAATGGTGTTTGTCTTTCTAGCTTATTCACTAAGCATGATTCTCTCTAGTTCCCATCCATATTGTTGCAAATAGTAGGATTTTGTCTTTTGTATAGCTGAATAGTACTCCATTGTTCATTATACGTCTTTATCCATTCATCAAATAATGGGCACTTAGGTTGTTTTTAATTTTGTCTGTTGTAAATAGTGCTGCAGTAAATATGGGACTGTAAATATGACTCTTCAAGTTAATGCTTTTGTATATTTGGATAAATGCCCAGAAGTGGGATAAATGGATTGTAGGGAATTTTTAATCTTTTGAGGAATCTCCATGATGCTTTCCATAATGGCTACCCCAATTTACTTTACCTCCAACAGTGTATAAGGGTTTGCTTCTCTCATATCCTCTTCAGTACTTGGTATTTCTTGTCTTTGGGGTAATGGCAGGTATGAAGTGACATCTCACTGTTGTGATCTGTATTTCTTTTAATAAGAGATGATAACCATCTTTTCATGTGCCTGTTGATCTACCTACCTTATGTCTTCTTTGGTGAAGTATCTGGATCCTCTGCTCATTTTAAATGAGTTGTTCTTTTTTTCTTACTGAGTTTTATGAGTTCTTCGTATATTTTTCTTACATCATTGTAGTCCCCATAGTTCTCCCACCATCATATCACCTGTGAACCTTGACCATATTCCCTTGTGTTAATCACACCTGTTTTGCCTCTCCTCCCTCCCCATTCTTTGGTGTATGCCTCAGTTCTATGGTTAGCTTGCTAGTTTTTCTTTCCCTTGACCTTATGTTTGGTTTCTCTATATTTCACATGTAAGTGAGACTGACCCGGTATTTATCTTTTTCCTTCTGACTAATTTGACCTAGCATAATCCCTTCCAACTCTATCCATGTTGCCACAAATGGTGTGAGTTTATCTTTTTTGATCACTGAGTAATGTTCCATTGTATAAATATGCCACAACTTTGTGATCCATTTGCCGGTTTGGGTTGTTTCCATATCTTGGCTGTTGTAAATAGTGCTTCAATAAACACAGGGATGCAAGTTTCCTTTTGAGTTAATGTTTTTGTGTCCTTTGGGTAGAGTCCTAGAAGTTGAATTGCTGGGTCATATGGTAGATCCATTTTTAGTGTTCTGAGGAACCTCCACACAGCTTTCCATAGTGGCTGAACCAGTTTACATTCCCACCAGCAGTGTAAGAGAGTTCCTTTATCTGCACAACCTCACCAGCATTTGTTTCCATGGTTTTTTTAATGTGGGCCATTCTCACAGGTGTGAAGTGGTATCTCATTGTGGTTTTGATTTGCATTTCCCTGATAACTAGTGATATTGAACATTTTTTTCACGTGTGTGAGCCATTTGCATTTCTTCTTTAGAGAGTGTCTTTTTAGATCTTCTGCCCATTTTTGAGTGGGTTGTTTGCTTTGGTTTTGTTGAGTTATGTAAGTTCTTTGTAGATCTTTGACATCAGTCCCTTATCTGTCCTATGATGTGAGTGTATTTTCCCCCGTTCAATGGGATATCTGTTTTGTTTGATTTTTCTCTCTTTTGCTGTACAGAGCTTTTTAGTTTGATGTAGTCCCAGCTGTTTACTTCCCTTTTGTTTTCCTTACTTCTGGGTAAGTAAGAATCCTCAAAAGTATTTCTGAGTTTATGTCATGGAGTGTTTTGCCTATATTTTTTCCTATATATTTTATGGTGTCAGGGCTTACATTCAAGTCTTTTTTCTACTTTGAGTTGATTTTTGTATATGGTGTGAGATAGTAGTCTATTTTTATTCTTTTGCATGTCACTGTCCAGTTTTCCCAAAACCATTTATTGAAGAGGCTTTACATGTTCCAGTGTGTATTCTTTGCTCCTTTGTCATAGATTAGTTGTCTATATATATATATATATATATATATAGATTGATTTATTTATACAGGCACTTGGTACAGTCAGAAGCGCAGGAGGGTGAGAGAATTCACCAGAGCCAGAGCAGGGAACAGAACAGGCAGACTGAAGAAATACACTGCTGAGGGGAGCAGCCGTGGCGGCAGGAGAGATCTGCGCACCATGTGGGACCCTTGCCGGTGGCTGGGGATCAAACCGGCACTGCAGAGGCTGTGGACAGCTTTGCAGCCCAGCGCTCAACCGCTGCGCCACCAGGGGAGGCCCCAGTTGGCTATATATGTGCAGGAAAAATTTCATTGTTTGGAGTTTTTTGAGGTTCCATATGAATTCAACAGTATTTGTTCTATTTCTTTAGAGAATATCATTGAGATTTTTATTGTAATAGCATTGAATCTGTAAATTGCTTGGTAGGATGGCCATTTTTATAATGTTAATTCTTCTGATCCACAAGCAGGGAATATCTTTCCAATTCTTTGTGTCATCTTCTGTTTCTTAACAGTGTTTTTTGGTTTTCCTCGCATAGGTCTTTCACCTCTTTTGTTAGGTATATATCCACGTGTTTAATTTTGGGAGGTACAATTGTAAATGGGATAGTTTTCTTAATATCTTTCTTGAGATTGATTGTTTGCATATAGGAAGGCTACTGATTTTTGTGTATTGATTTTTATAACTTGCTACTTTTTGGTTTATTGTTTTAATGGGTTTTTCTGTGGATTTTTTAGTATCATATCATCTGCATATAATGATTGTTTTACTTCTTTCCCTATTTGTGTTCTTTTTATATCTTTCTTTTGCCTGATTGCCCTACCTAGGACTTCTATTCCTCTTTTGAAAAGCAGGAGTGAGAGTGGACATCCTTGTCTTGTTACAGATGTTAATGGAAAGTCTTTCAGTTTTTCTCCACTTAGAATAATGTTAGCTGTTGGTTTGTTATATATGGCTTTCATGGCTTTCATTGTATTAAGATATGTCCTTTGATCCCAAAGTTTTCGAGGATCTTCCATAAATGGATGATGGACTTTATCAAATGCTTTCTCAACATCTATTTATATGATCATATGGTTTTTGTTCTTCCTTTGTCGATGTAGTGAATTACATTAATTGCTTTTCAGATGTTGAACCATACTTGTGTCCCTGGAATAAATCCTACTTGGTTGTGATGTGTAATCTTTTTGATGAATTACTGAATTGAGTTTGCTAAGATTTTTTTTTACACTATAAATTCATTAGCATAATTTTTATAAAATATTTTATATAATTCTTACATCATTTTTCATTTTTGCATAATGTATGCATTTTCATTTTGGTTATATTCCCCATACAATTCCCACTCCCTTTTTCTGACCCTAATCCCTCTTCTCCTCCCCCAGCCCTCCACTGTGGTGTGTCTCTGGTCTATAGTTGCTTGTTGATTTTGATATTTACTTTATTGTAATTAGTCTTTTTCCTGGTCTCTTATTTAGGTTTTCTAAATTCCTGCTATGAGTGAGACCATCTGGTATTTTTCTTTTTCTTGCTTATTTCACTGACCATGATCTCTTCCAGCTCCATCCATGTTGCTGCAAATTGCATGTGTTTATCTTTTTTGATTGCTGAGTAATATTCCATTGTGTGTATATACCACATCTTCTTGATGCAGTCATTTATTTTTGGCCATTTGGGTTGTTTCCATAGCTCAGCTAAGTAAATAGTGCTGCTATAAACATAGGGATGCAGTTACCCTTTGGAATTAATGTTTCTATGTCCTTTGGGTAAATACCTAGGAGCAGAGTTGCTAGATCATATGGAAGCTCTATCTTTAGTAGGTCAATAAATCTCCACACAGCTTTCCATAGTGGTTGGACCATATTGCACTCCCACCAGCAGGGCAGGAGAGTTTATCTCCACATCCTGCCAACATTTGTTGTTGCTAGTTTTTTAATA